CCTATTCTCTGCCTTTTTTGTGCCTCGCGGTCGACCGCGAGATTTCCACGGTCGACCGCCCGCCGAACTCATAATTGTTTTCCAACGGCTATTTTCTGATTTGATTTTCTAAGGCTATTTTGGTCTTTTCAAGTTTGTTTTGGCTGATATTTTGAGTGGGTATAAATACCCCATTGCTCTTCTTTTTCAAACCAATCAAATAAAACCAAGTTTTGTTTTTACATTAAGGTTTAACAAAGGTTTAAGAGGTGTTTAAAGAGCTGTTACGCTGTTTTCATCAGTCTGTTTCAAAAGAAGTTTCCTACAACAAGAAGAGGCTTTCAAATTCCATCATCCACTGTTCTTCTTGTCTATTGAGAAGTTTTCCTAACTCTTTTTACATATAGCTTACTATTTTATTTTCATATCTTAGCTATATTTATTGAGTTATACTTTTTCATTCATTGTTGTCACACACACTGTATTGAGCTTAATATTCCATACTATATATTGTGGGTTGTGGTGTGTGATTTAGTGAGTGTGAGCTTCATTTGCGTTCTCATTTGTTGTTGAGAACAAACCATTGTATTTAAACTTTATTTGTGAGTATCACTTGTAATACACTTGTACACCGAGAGAAGTGTGAGGCGAGAGACGGGGTCGAATCCAATAGGAGTGGCGTTGGTTGACGAACCTAGGGAGAGGTTGCATCCGAGCACTTGAGGAGGAGGACACGGGCTAGGTTCCTGCACTTAGTGTGTAAAGTGTGATTGCATAGTGTTTGTTGTGTGAGAGTTTTCAGTAAGCTTGTAAACCGAGTGTGTAGAAGTTCTGGCTTCTAAATCGGATTGTGATAGTAGAGATCTCCTCGAGGTGAGGAGCGGAGACGTAGGTCGTGGTGACCGAACCTCGTAAACACATTGTTTGTTTGTGTTTTGCTTAGCGTACTTTTTAGACGTAGGTCGTGGTGACCGAACCTCGTAAACACATTGTTTGTTTGTGTTTTGCTTAGCGTACTTTTTATTTGTGCTTATTCATATCATTCTTGCTCATATCTATCTTATATCATTCTTGCAATAATAAATTAATCAATATTATTTTAATTGACATTTAATCGGGATTAGATTAGCATAAGACCCTAATCAGTCCCCCTCTAGGGTCTAACAGTTTTATGTTCTTTAAGCCTAGCACTAAGATGTATCCAATCATTAAATCCTTCATTTATTAAAAAACCTTTTTTAAAACCATTTTTAAACAATTTACAACAAAAACAGAATACTTTATCGGTATCCTTCGAATAAACTAACCATTCCCTATCGCATTTCTCTCCATTTGATAAATGCCTAGAGTAAAATGCCAAAGAAAAACATCTTCCTAATTTATCTTTATGACCTTTTTCGACTAATAAATCACTTATAGGGTCATTTTCCACTAATATATCTCTAGATTTTATGTTCAAATTATCCCAAGTTTTGGATCATAAATATTTAAATTCATGAGCATGGACTAATTAAGTTGTTCATTGCCTAAAATATTTTCATTCTCATTTTTATTTTTATTGTTAATATCAATTTCATTCTGATTCTCATTCTCATTTTTACTTTCATTTTCATTTTTATTTTCTTTCTGATTCTCATTTTCATTATCATTTTTATTTTCATTATGATTCTCATTTTTATTCTGATTCTCATTTTCATTTTTACTATGATCATCAACATTTTCATTCTCATACTCATTCAGGCCCAAATAATTAATGTTATCATTTTCAATTGAATTTTCAACTGAATCTTGTGTTTCTCTAACAATGAATTTATCAAGCGCTCCCCTTTGAGTTTAGACAAATTGTTCATTTTTTTGCGTTTATCATATCCAGAAGAATATTTTCTTGGAAACATTTCTATAATAAAACAAAAAATATTACAATCAAAATATCAAATTGAAAGAAGTCAAAAGATTTGAAACAATACAACCTGATGAACAACTCCGGCTGAGCATCAAACTTGCTCTTATCCGTCAAGCTCTCGTAACAACAATACAACCTGATGAACAACTCCGGCTGAGCATCAAACTTGCTCTTATCCGTCAAGCTCTCGTAACGAATCTTTTCCAAAGCCTTTACAAGTACAATAACAAAAACAATAACAAAAAAATCAAACAAAAGCATCAAAATCAAGAGCTCCTCAATCAACAAAACCCTAAGTAATCCCAAAAATAGACCAAAACTTACATCCGAGGAATTGCTAGCGAGCTCGACAGTGGTGAAGTGGACTGACTGCTGACTGCTGATCTCGACGGGACGACCAGTCTGAGCGGGGGCGGCGAGCTCCGAAGTCGGCGATTTCGGGGCCTCGGGTGGTGGAGTCGGAGAGGAGGAGGGGGAGGTGATGGCGAGGGCGAGGCCGCGAGGGTGATGAGCTAGCGGCGACGCAGAGTTGAGCGAGGGGATGTCGAGGGCGGAGGAGAGGAGGAGGGGGGCTGGCCAGATCTGGTTTGAGATGTGAAGATGGGTAGGGATCTATTTTGAAGGAGGGGTTTTTGAACGGAGGGTTGAGATTAAGCTGAGGGTTGTGAAATGGACGGTCCGTCTTAGATTTATTTCTCCCTATATATAAATATAATTAAAAAAAATTTGGGGCCCCCAATTTTAGGGGGCCCTGTGCGGTAGATCACCCCCGCACACCTACAGAGCCGGATATGTAATCAATTTCTACTTTTATCCAAATAACTTTACTACGAAAATGCATGATGTCTATCACTTGATGATAAAAGATCCGGATATGATCGTCCAGTTTATTAAAGTCTTAAGATCTCTAGCATTATGATAAAAATTTTCAAAATCGTGACGAGAGGTATTCATTTCATATTTATGGTATATATTAAAGTAACAACGTGCATTGCTGACATGATTAAATAAAAACACCTTGTGTTATGTACATATATTAAAAAATTGGATGTGGGGAATACTTGTTAATTTTTTTTATTCTCTCACGTTCCCCGTCCATGTGAAGATCACTGTTTATATATGTCCGTGTCGAACAGCTGTCTGTATAGTATCTCGTAATTAAAACCATAGCGAAAATGACTTTAATAAATAATTAATCACATTGTGGGCTCACTTGTCACAAAGAAAAATTATTAATTAATCTTGCCATCATGGTGTTGGAATTCTGACGAAGAGTTCTATTAGCCCCGATGGTTGGATTATCTGTAGAACGAACGAGACACGAAAGGCGTTGTTCTTTTTGTAAACATCGCGGGGCTCTCGATTAGCCTGTGCCTTCGTTATTCCGAAATTCTGTCAGTTCACGTAGTTCGTCGATTCACTTCAAACGTTCACCGACGTCAATTGAACTCCTGTGAACCAGATGGTGACGTTCATTGTCGTTCCTTAACACTGAGCTATTCGTGGAGACCTATAGGTAATTTTCGATGCCTACAGGAAGCGATCAAGTGGATTCTGAGATATCTACGAGGCACCACACAGAAGTATTTGCACTTTGGTAAGGGAGAGGTGGAAGTGCAAGGGTACGTAGATGCAGACTTTGGTGGGGAAGTCGATCACCAAAAAAGCACCACCGGCTATGTATTCACCGTCGGAACTACAGCTGTTAGTTGGATGTCACAGGTACAGAAGATCGTTACCCTATCCACTACAGAAGCTGAGTATGTTGCAGTGACTGAAGCCAGTAAAGAGATGATATGGCTTCAGGGTTTGTTAACAGAGCTGGGATTCAAACAGGAGAAGAATGTTTTGCACAGTGATAGCCAGAGTGCGATACACTTGGCGAAGAATTCAGCATTTCATTCTAGAACGAAGCATATTGCGCTTCGGTACCACTTCATCAGATCCCTGTTGGAAGATGACGTGTTAAAACTGGAAAAGATTCTAGGAAGTAAGAATCCAGCAGATATGTTAATAAAGACGGTGACCGTTCAGAAACTAAAGTTGTGCGCAACTTCAGTTGGCCTTCATGCTTAGATGATGAGGGCGGACCCACACAGGAGAGGAGCTTGATGAGATAACCTGCCGACGTCGGTTTGGTCTCCAAGTGGAAGATTGTTAGTTTGGGGGTGGATATCAACCTCCGCCGACGAGTAGCTCCGGCGAGCGTGGACGTCGACTCAGGCGAAGTCGACGGCGAACTCCAGGCACAGCTTTAGGTGGAGCTCGAGCAGGCGAGCTCGAATTTTGGCGATTCCCGACCTCGGCGTGTGGGCATCGCGACCTCGGCGTTTTGGATCCGACCTCGGCGTTTTTGTGACCTGACCTTGGTGTTTCTGCACTCCGACATTGGCGTTAGCGATCGAGTGTGCGATAGGCCTGTCGCCAGCTTACTGTATTCGCCTATAAAAGTCCCCTTTCCCGATGCCCTAGCTTGTGTGTGAGAGCTTTTTTCCCCCTCCGATTTTTTCTCTGGCGTCGGACAAAAACACAGTTGCGTTTCCTTCTTTCTCCAGCGCTTGGGATTTGAGAATCTTGAGGGGAGATTTAAGAAGAGAGAGAGAGAGAAATTAATTAGGGCCTTTTTTAAAGGGGTATTCTCAAAAGAGAATTGAAATTGATTATTCCCTTTAATTATTAACACTGTAGCTACAGTGTTCATTTTGAGAAATCTCAGTTTTGAGATCTGCTCTTGAATTGTAATTTCTTGTTTGATTAATAAGAAATTTACTGTGTGGCTCCCGAAGATGTAGGCAGTTGCCGAACCTCGTAAATCTTGTGTACTTTTCTCTATACCGCATTTCTGCTGTTTTTAGGGGTTTTGCGTAGCCTCAGCGGATAGTATTCCCAACCGTATCCACATTATTGCCCTTAATCATTTTAAAGTCAATGTTGCTACAATGCTTTTAGTTGGCAAGCTACTGCTGTTAAGGTGTTTTGTGATGTTTATCCTATTCATTTCCTCTATAAATACAGAGCAGCTAGCAGTAACGTTCTTAGCATCCTTCAACCAAACATAATGGCTACTTCTCCCCTCCCCTTCCCTGTTGTTTCCCTCATCCTTTTCTTCTCCAGGAGATGAGAGAGAAAGTACGTATGTGGCCTGTCCTTTATCACGAGGAGATGAGAGAGAAAGTACGTATGTGGCCTGTCCTTTATCACGAGGAGATGAGAGAGAAAGTACGTATGTGGCCTGTCCTTTATCACGAGGAGATGAGAGAGAAAGTACGTATGTGGCCCGTCCTTTATCACGAGGAGATGAGAGAGAAAATGCTCAGAAAACAGTTACTTGCTGATGAGGTTTTCGCTCATGACGACACTCCAGGCATCTGCTTCAGGGAGGGCGATTTGAAGCAGGGCAATGCTATGCCTTTTGTAGACTTCAGAGGGCTGTTCCCAAGTCAGCATTTTGTGCCGAGGTCAGTCGCCAGCAAGATGCCCTTCACCTCCGCGGACGACGTAAAAAGGATGTTCCACGTATCATCCGCGACGAGCAAGGGCATGGAAAAGACCGTGAAGCTCTGCAATAGGGCGGTGACTTCCCCTGATGAGCAGAAGAAGTGCATCTCGTCGGCAGAGGATATGATCGACTACGTCATTCAGACTCTCGGGTCTGATAACATCGAGGCGAGGAGCACGGAGAGTACTAGAGGTATATATAGTGATGTTTTTTTATTCATGTTTTTATACGGAGGAATGTACAAGATAAAAATAACTAGCTAGCTAGGAGGAATATGGAATTATTTATTCATGTTTTTGGCACTACTTTATTCATTCATGATAGCTACTAATTCTAATTTATAGCAAAACACTTAATTTAATCTACACTTTAATTTTCACCAACAGGGTGTGGGAGCGACATCTTGATCGGCGATCTCAAGGTGTTGAACGGAGGTAAGTTTTCCGATGTGGTGACTTGCCACCAGATGCAGTTCCCTTACTTGGTTCACTACTGTCATAGCATTGCGAAAACTAGAGTTTATGAGGTGGAGATATTGGATGCGGTGACAAAGGAGAGGGTTAACCACGCTATAGCTACCTGCCATATGATCTCCATGGGGAACCCCGAGCCTGGCAACATTGTAGTCTGCCACTTCATCTCGCCATGGGACATGGTGTGGACCGCCGCTGCTGAGGCTTGATGTGTGGTGTGCTTGTGTTCTTGCATGCATGCGTGCATCCATGTGGGTGTGGTCATGCATGCATGCATGCGTATATGCGCTATATTGAGCTCTATGTGATGTGTGTGTCGTCCTGAGAGAGTGACTGCGTGTGGACGAGTCTAGTGGTATGTATCATGTGTGGTCATGCGTGCATACATGTATGCATGCATGCAATGTTGTAACCCGTTTCTGGTGTCTCTATCTTGTTGTTGAAATAATATGCACATCATGAATTTGCTGCCACCGCTTTTCAGTACTCTACCCATTCAGTATCGAAAATGGTCATATTAAACGCAAAATCGTTACCATTACCGTATTCTTTGTGAATTGATACGTTTCAATTCAAACGTGCGGTAGCGCGGGAGCCAAAAGAGGAGAAACTAACGGTCAACCAACAGAAATCCAAAAGCTCTCAAACACCCAACAACTCCGTTCCCTAATCCACAAACACATCAAAATCCCACCGACACATAAATTTAAAAAAAAAAACGAAAAAAAAATAGGGGGAGAAAGAAGAATCTACAGAGGAAAAATAGATCAAGAGGAGGGAGGAATGGGAGGCTGCTACTCCTCCCAATCCTCCAACCTCTCTGACGAGTCCAAGAGCCGCCGCTGCCTCCCCTCCATCTCCTCCTCTGACCACGTCGACAACCTCGATGACATTGAGTGCATCGACCTCGTCGCTGCTGCCGCCAAACCCTACTCCACCTCCATCCTCAGAAACCCTTCCTCCGGCGAAGAATTCCTCTGCAGGTACTGTCCTGAAATCACTTGAGAATTATCTGATTAGACATGAGCGTGCTTTGCAAAGCAGTTTTATTTTTATTTTTTATTTTTTTTTTGGTGAAAGTATTATCTTTGAAGTTTGTTTTTTTTCTAACTGTTTAGTAATTTAGCAATAAGTTAGTTTCTAAGTCCTATCTAAAAAAGTTAGGATTCCTCAGTTTTTTAAAAAGTAGATTATAAGCTCATCTAAATTAGCTACGTCTCACCAAGTAAATGATCATTCTTTCCAAAAGCAATCGAGAACTAAGATAGCTTCAAAAGCCAACAACTACTATAGCTTAAGAGCTTTAAGCTCCCCAAATACCCCAAGCAAGTCATTCATCACGCTGCATGATCTAATAGAACATTTTCTAGGATAATAGAATGATTACATAAATAATACCCAAAAACATGTACAATCATAAAGTCTTCACTAACATATAAAGATATTAAAAATTAGTATTTGATGTGCAAGGGGCATAATAATATACTATTATGGCAGGTACCAGCTCGGGAAGGAGCTCGGCAGAGGCGAGTTCGGCGTCACGCGAAGATGCACGGATATCGAGACGGGCGAGAAGTTCGCTTGCAAGACGATATCAAAGCTTAGGCTGAAGAACTGTGTGGACGCCGCCGATGTGAGGAGGGAGGTGGAGATTATGAGGCATTTTCCGAACCATCCGAATATTGTGCAGCTTAGAGATGCTTATGAGGATGAAGAGGCTGTGCATTTGGTGATGGAGTTGTGTCAGGGAGGAGAGCTTTTTGATAGGATTGTTGCAAGGGGGCATTATACGGAGAGGGCTGCTGCTGGTGTCGCCAAGACAATCATTGAGATTGTTCAGGTGAAGAACAGAAGTAACACAGAGAGGGCTGCTGCTGGTGTCGCCAAGACAATCATTGAGATTGTTCAGGTGAAGAACAGAAGTAACACAAACAGATTAGTAATTAAATGCGGGGTAGTCGCACATATATCCCGTATATGCCACTTATTAGCCCTTAGTTTTTGTTATAGGACTAAGTGAGGATAGATTCCTGTTTTGAAATTACTACCTCAAATAGAACCAGGATAGCAAGAACATCAAAACAACACTAGACAGGGGGACAATCTGCAATTAAACCCTTTTCTTGATTAGCACTTGACCCTTGCTGTCCGAATGAAATTCCTTTATCGATAATGTAATTATAGGAATATGTGATCAACATCTTTAAGAAAATAGGGGATCTCTACAACACACCCATGTCACTTTACACATAGGTGATGGGTACAAATAAGGGAGGGATTAGTCATGGTTTGGAATCTAGGGATCAAAATGCTACTAAAAGAGCTTTGGGGGTAAAAATTGTTTATCCCCAATATTATAAGGGCGTCTGATGGGAAGCGAGCAGAGGGTTTCGATCTAAGTATGCAACCATCCTTCAAAGAACAATGAGCTTTCAGCCATGGTTGTTTGGTATCATGTCAAACAACTAGTATAACAGGAAAGCATTATTAAACACTAGCTTTGTGTCTCAAACAAGGTAAATGTTAACTGATGATATTTATGATGGAGTTTTTTTTTTAGAAAAGACATTTTTTGCTAAATAATTAGCAAAACCGACCGTTTTGCTAATTATTAAACAAAAACGATCACTTTTTGGCCAACATTGGTCGCTTTTAAAAAACTGTTTATTCGAAACATATGAGACTAGCAGTACCGTATGTTTAGTCGAACATTGGTCGCTTTTAAAAAACTGTTTATTCGAAACATATGAGACTAGCAGTACCGTATGTTTAGTCGTCATTAATTGGCGACTAATAGCACCTAGCAAACCTACGGGACCAGTAATCTCGTAGGTTTTGGGTGTGCTTTAGAAAACCAAGCAGATCGGCCACCTTCGCCACGATCTGAGCAGATCCAATTGCATCGGGAGACAACCTCTCCTGCCCCAATCCAACCCTATCCAATATCTCCCTTTTCCTCGCCGCCTGCGCTCGGTACTCGCTCACCTTGGTCCGCGGATCTCCGGCAACGATCGATGCAGCTCAAGACCTTGATTTGGACAGCGACGCGATGGAGTGGAGGTAAGCTATGGTGCGAGGGGTGAAGTCGAAGTCGAAGTCGAGGACTTGGTGGCTGACGGAATCGAAGTGGGAGGCGAGGAAGGAGTTGATCTCGGCGATGCGGGCCCGGCCTAATGGGCTCTTCTATAGCCTATAATAGCAATCTGTCGGCAATAATAATAAGAAAAACAATGTGGATTTTAAAACCTACGGGACTAGTAGTCCCGTAGATTTTCTGGGTGCTATTAGCCGCCAATTAATGGCGACTAAACATATGGGACCAGCAGTCCCGTATGTTTCGAATATGCAGTTTTTTTAAAAACGACCTTTTTTGGCGTGTTGGCCAAAAAGAGGTTTTTTTTGCTAAATAATTAGCAAGACGATCGGTTTTGCTAATTATTTAGCAAAAAAATATCTTTTTTTTTAAAATCTCTTATTTATGATTTGAGCAAACGTTCATGAGCAACGTAAGGTGATGATGTTTCTGTCTTATGAACTCTTAAATCTTCGATTTTAATTTGAAGTGGATTGGCATTTTGTTGGTTTGCGTTGACTAAGTTTAGTAGCAAACACAACAACAACAAAGCTTTTATCCTCAATTTTCGGAAGTTAGCTACATGAATCATATTCCTTCATTCAAATCTATGATGAGTCTTTTCCCCGTTAAGCTAATTGTTGTCAAGTCATCTTGATTGCTTTCAATCAAGTTCTTTTAGGTCTACCTGGTGCTCTTTGCCATCATTAACTATGATTTTATCACTTCTTTGAATGGTGCATTAAGTGGCCTCTATTGTATACTAAACTACCTCAATTGATTGCCTCATTTTATCCTCAATTGGAGTAACTCTAATCCGTTATGACTACACTATTAATCTCATTTATTAATGTTATCATTTTCAATTGAATTTTCAACTGAATCTTGTGTTTCTCTAACAATGAATTTATCAAGCGCTCCCCTTTGAGTTTAGACAAATTGTTCATTTTTTGCGTTTATCATATCCATAAGGATATTTTCTTGGAAACATTTCTATAATAAAACAAAAAATATTACAATCAAAATATCAAATTGAAAGAAGTCAAAAGATTCGGAACAATACAACCTGATGAACAACTCCGGCTGAGCATCGAACTTGCTCTTATCCGTCAAGCTCTCGTAACGAATCTTTTCCAAAGCCTTTACAAGTACAATAACAAAAAAATTAAACAAAAGCATCAAAATCAAGAGCTCCTCAATCAACAAAACCCTAAGTAATCCCAAAAATAGACCAAAACTTACATCCGAGGAATTGCTGGCGAGCTCGACAGTGGTGAAGTGGGCTGACTGCTGACTGCTGAGCTTGACGGGACGACCAGTCTGAGCGGGGGCGGCGAGCTCCGAAGTCGGCGATTTTGGGGCCTCGGGTGGTGGAGTCGGAGAGGAGGAGGGGGAGGTGATGGCGAGGGCGAGGCCGCAAGGGTGATGAGCTAGCGGCGACGCAGAGTTGAGCGAGGGGATGTCGAGGGCGGAGGAGAGGAGGGGGGCTGACCAGATCTGGTTTGAGATGTGAAGATGGGTAGGGATCTATTTTGAAGGAGGGGTTTTTGAACGGAGGGTTGAGATTAAGCTGAGGGTTGTGAAATGGACGGTCCGTCTTAGATTTATTTCTCCCTATATATAAATATAATTAAAAAAAATTTTGGGGCCCCCAATTTTAGGGGGCCCTGTGCGGTAGATCACCCCGCACACCTACAGAGCCGGCCGGATATGTAATCAATTTCTACTTTTATCCAAATAACTTTACTACAAGAATGCATGATGTCTATCACTTGATGATAAAAGATCCGGATATGATCGTTCAGTTTATTAAAGTCTTAAGATCTATATGAAATTAACAATAACTCTGATTTTAAGCGTACTTCTATACTGATTTTGGATCGTAAGCAATTTCTACTTTATCTGAATAATTTTATTACTACAAGAATGCAGGATGTCTATCACTTGATGATAAAAAGATCCGGATATGATCGTCCAGTTTATTAAAGTCTTAAGATCTCTAGCATTATGATAAAAATTTTCAAAATCGTGACGAGAGTCACGGGGTATTCATTTCATATTTATGGTATATATTAAAGTAACAACATGCATTGCTGACATGATTAAATAAAAACACCTTGTGTTATGTACATATATTAAAAAATTGATTGTGGGGAATGCTTGTTAATTTTTTTATTCTCTCACGTTCCCGTCCATGTGAAGATCACTGTTTATATATGTCCGTGTCGAACAGCTGTCTGTATAGTATCTCGTAATTAAAACCATAGCGAAAATGACTTTAATAAATAATTAATCAGATTGTGGGCTCACTTGTCACAAAGAAAAACTATTAATTAATCTTGCCATCATGGTTTCTCAGTACTTGTCACAGATAATATATACCCTACCGGCCCCTCGAAGGCATGTGATTCTTTTGGCTGAGTTCGATTTCCCTGTATGCGACCCTATCAACTCGGGCAAGACTTGGGAACGTATCGGCATACGCACAGGGCATAACCTACTACCTAGTTTGTATCCTTCGACTAGTTACGTATCGGTTGAACGTATATGCCACCTTGAGTAGGTTGCGGTCTGCTGCATGCGTACTTGGGCTGATAGAGCCTCACTTACGAGGTTACTAGTAAGTCTTGAAATTTAAGGATTTAAATATTAAGTCTTGAAATTTAAGTGCGATAATGATTAAACACTTATGGCTTTGAATTAGCCAAATAATTCTATAGCTAAGCATGTTTGGGCGAAAGTAATTCTAGAACGAGTGACTTTTTTGAAAATTATAATAGTGCACGATGACACGTCTATGTTTTCATGGTCTAAGCACAAATATGTGTGGCTCCGATACGTGTATGATAAGAACTACTAAATACAGCCTCGACTTGAACGTACAACTTGGCAATCTTGTTGAACCAAGAAAAATCATGTCAATAATTGTGAAGATGATGTTTATATTAAGAGAAAAATGCTTCTAGCCCCCAAAACAAAAAGAAACATGTCTCCCACCCCCAAGACATTTTCAACGGGCTCTTTGCCCCCAAAAGTAAACTAATTATTCACTGAGCCCCCAAAACACAAAGCCCAAGAATTTTACACAGGTAAAGACTATAATACCCATTCTACCCATTCTCTCTTTCTCTCTAACCATGCAATCCGGCCCTCTGCTCTCCCTCCTCCTTCCCCCACCTCTCCACCCGCCGCTGCCGCCACCCTCCTCCTACCATCATCGCCTCCTCCGCCGTCGTCGCCGCCCCCAAAACCAACCTTCGCTGCCGATTGATCCACCGCGTTGATCGTTTCTTCGCCGGCGATCCTCGCAACCTTCGCTGCCAATTTAACCTCCCCGCAACAAAGATTCAGCGCCTTGGAGCTCCCCAGGGACACCACCAACAGATCCTCCGCCCCGTCGGTGAAGGGAAACTTCCTCTTATTAGTAAGCACGTGCGTGATTGTAGCTGCCGTCGGATTTCCCATCCCAATCCCCCCTCCCATCGCTTTGATGTTTAGAAAACATCAAAGCGATGTTAAAATTAGGGAAAAATGCTCCGTGAACCCAAATCCGTAAGATTAGAGACTTTTGTCATTTAACACTTTACGATTAGAGACTTTTGTCAATGAAGTTTGAACACAGAAAAGTACTTCTGCTTTGCCTATTACCATTTAGCATGGCCACACATCCACCACGAGCAAGGGAAATACTACGAATATAGAAAAGCTGGATAATGAACTTCCTTGTATGTTATATCATTCGTCCATAGTTCATGCTCAAAAATAAATAATTGATCCAAAATGATTACAGTATACACCGATAAACAAATAAGCAATAGAAGGCATGATTTTACTAGGACAAAAGGAGTTTGTGTTTGCTTTCCTATGGGTTTACTGGAAAATTAACGAACTTAGAGCTGATATTATTTGCAGGAAGTGTTTTCCCATAATTTTAATGAAATTT